TAAAAGGACCGAAATCCATCGTATTTTATACACTAATCCTACCTATTTTAATTTAGGTATTAAAAAAGGCTCTACAGCTCCGATACCTTTCGATATGTCACGAACACAGGACGGTTCACAATGGTATTTTTTTTGGTTCACGTCCGCGTCATTCAGAATAAAGTCCTCACAAAATGCGCATTAAGTACTGAAAGGTTGACAAAAAATCTTTTAAACGTGCACCACATAAACGTCAATCACACTCTCTTTTGTTAAACTCCCATATCCGTGCAATCGCGACTCGATTTCTTTTCATAATAATAAGCGCTGCGTGCATATTATAGTCGAGGCCTTTGTAGAACAAATTAATGGCCCGTGAAATTATAGCTGCTTCTTCACGTGAATTATGAACTTCGAAGCTGTTTCTTTATACAAGCAAACGCACAGAAAGACAGATGTCTAATGTCAAAATCATGAATTTGTTTAAGTAGCTTTCGTGTTTTTGATAAAGCTTGCCAAGTTGCATAAGTTATCCCTGTTCATGGAGTAGACATCACTATAGCTCATTTGCAACGTTTTTTATATGGAGATTTATAGCTTGACACATATTTTTATTAAAAGGAACAAAATTATAATGATAGAAATGATTTATTGAAATAAATTTTTGAAATTGAATTTTTGAAAAATTTGATGAAATTATAATGTAATTATTTTTTATAACTGGTTGCTTGCCCAACCAAAATGCAAAAGCAGTTATTAATACATATAATCATGAGTTTCTGTTATTGTTTCTGATTGGTTCTGGTCGTTTTGAAGTCTTCTTCGTTTTCTCGACATATTCAGAACGCATTACTGAAGGCTTGAAAGGCTCCAACCGACCGTCGACTCGTTTCTTTAATAAAACGCGCGTCAACAGTTCTCACATTTTGGCCGTTAAAAACAAGTCATCAACGCCAGTCGTCCCACAGCAAGCCAGCATCGCAGCTTCAACAGGGCCATCGCAACCCGCGACCGGATCATCAACGCTTGGGATCACACATCTTCGGCGTTGCAGCTTTGCATCACATGGACTACTCACGGCACTCACGCAGCTTTCAAGCTCAGTCTCAAGCTCACCGCAGACAGACAGATCTGACAGATCCTGAATTTCGCTTACGACATTTTTATGATAGTTCTATAGCATATATAAAAGTTCCGAACAACAACATACGGACCGTCGGTCTACCGGGCAATTTCATATGTTCGGTGGAAGATCTTCTCTCCGCCGTAAAACTTCAAAATCTTTTCTATCTCTCTGTTCGTTTGATTATTCGATGGATTATTATATAGTTTTACAGGTATAAAGAGGTTATTTTGGAATACAATTTACGCTTTGTTTTATTGGAATAGGATAGATGTTGCAAAAACCAGTTGTCATTGAAATATGAAGAATTTACTTTTATATCCTTAGAGCCCACAATCACTTATAAAATAATAGGTATTACCCACTATGAAAATAACTCAATTTTGGAGCCTCTGGGTCTGCGGAGGGACTTCGGTTCCCTCCGCAGACCCAGAGGCTCTGTATTTTCCCTCTGTATTTTGTACCGTATGTTCCATGGGGAGTGCTCTGAGGAATTGTTCGAGATGATACCGGCATCTCGTTTTTACCATCGCACCGCCCGCCACCGGAGTAGAGTTCATCCATACTACCTGGAGCCACTGCGGTCATCCACAGTACGTTTCCAGAGGTCTTTTTTGCCACGTACCATCCGGCTATGGAATGAGCTCCCCTCCACGGTGTTTCCCGAGCGCTATGACATGTCCTTCTTCAAACGAGGCTTGTGGAGAGTATTAAGCGGTAGGCAACGGCTTGGCTCTGCCCCTGGCATTGCTGAAGCTTAGGGCGACGGTAACCACTCACCATCAGGTGGGCCGTATTCTCGTCTGCCTACAAGGGCAATAAAAAAAAAAAATTGTCTGTTACGTCTACATTCAAACCACTGTACCCATTTGGAGTTCAGCACTTCATACATCAGTGTGGATTTATGGATATAAATAGAAAGACGAAGCTTGTATTATTTCTCAGATTATTTTATTTGTTAAGGCTGTTATGTGTATTATATTTATCTGTGAGTCCTTAGTCAAATGAAATGCCTAAGAGACTTTTTGGCGGGAACGTGAGGAGTGAAACTGTGTGATTTCTTTTATTTTGTCTATTTAGTGTTTCTTCAGGTTTAAATGTGTAATAAAGATATTATTAACTGTTTAGTATCTGTGAAAGTGCACAATTGTGGGAAAATCAAATAAAGCTGCTGAACGTAACTTATCAGGATCCTCCAAATACTCCACTGAAAAAGTTTCAGTAAATGACCACCATTTTACTGAAATTATATTTCATACCATATCACCTCATCTCACTTCATTTTATTTCATTTCATTTCCCTTCACTTCATATTATCATTTTTCATAAAAATAAGAATTAAAATTAAAATAAGACTTGACCTGAAGGTCAAGTCATAAAATCCTTTAAAAAATGAAATGCCTAATAGGTACTTAGGTTCCTTACAGATGGGCAACCATACCAATTAGTGTGATTAGTTTTGAATCTATGTAAGATAAAGATTTAAGAGTGCACTGGCTGCCTATATACATAAAAAAGCAATATATTTATTGAATCTTTTTGATAGAGACCAAAAAGTTATTAAGCAACCCCGAGTAGCCATATTCTGTGATTTTTTTCTTTTACTCTCATTTGTATATTTTCACGTTACTTAACCGTAGCCACCATTGTTACATATTTAAACTGTAAGAAACAATTAATTCACAAAATAAATTAGGTGTGTATGTCACATAGCGTAACACTTCGCATTCCCGCTAAAAGTTCATAATAGTACTTTTATTTCTCCAACTAGCGACCCGCCCTCGCTTCGCTTCGGAAACATTAAAACACACATGAAACAAAAAAAAAAAAATTAAAATAAAATTAAAAAAGTAGCCTATGTTCATCAGGGACAATGTCGGCTTCTAATGGAAAAAGAATTTTTCAAATCAGTCCAGTAGTTTCGGAGCCTATTCGAAACAAACAAACAAACAAATCTTTCCTCTTTATAATATTATTAGTATATTAGTATTAGTATAGATTAGAAAACAAAAGTATCATACCATACAGCGTAACTCTTTGTTTATTTTTTTATGTAAAATGATAATACGGAGCAAAATGAAATGAAGTTAATTAATTGAGAACATTAATCAGTTGGCATGAAATGAAATGTAATGATATGATATGAGATGAAATAACTAGTCAGGTCATAAGTATTGTCACACAGTAAAAACTTTTCTTTTAGAATGCTGGCCACAAAAAAGTTTATTGAATTCGAATTTCGAATTGTTCATGAAAATAAAAATGTATACTTTTAGAATTTTACTCATTTTTGAATATGGAGTGGACGCTTAAAGAAGACCGTGTTGCAGTTATTGCGTTGCATCGTTGCGGTTACGCGCCAATTAAAATTTTTAACATACTGAAAAATTTGAATATAACCAAAAGATTCGTTTATCGTACCATCAAACGATACAATGAAGACTCTAGTGTAGATGACAGGTCAAGAAGTGGTCGCCCTCGGTCTGTTAGGACTCCAGCAGTGATAAAAGCTGTGAAGGCGCGAATTCAAAGAAATCCCAAACGTAAGCAGAAACTGTTGGCCCTTCAGATGGGGTTAAGCAGAACCACGGTGAAAAGGGTGTTAAATGAAGACTTAGGGCTTCGGGCATATCGAAGAAAAACAGGACATCGTTTGAATGCTCGTCTAATGGACCTGAGACTGAAGAGATGCCGCGCTTTGTTGAAGCGGTACGCGGGAAAAAAATATCGGGAAATTCTTTTTTCGGATGAAAAAATTTTTACCGTAGAAGAGAGCTACAACAAACAAAATGATAAGGTGTACGCACACAGTAGTGAAGAAGCGAGCAACCGTATTCCGCGTGTCCAACGAGGTCATTTTCCATCCTCGCTCATGGTATGGTTGGGAGTTTCTTATTGGGGCTTAACAGAGGTACATTTTTGTGAGAAAGGTGTAAAAACGAATGCAGTTGTGTATCAAAATACAGTCCTGACGAACCTTGTGGAACCTGTTTCTCATACCATGTTCAATAACAGGCACTGGGTATTCCAACAAGATTCGGCGCCAGCTCATAGAGCGAAGAGCACACAAGACTGGCTGGCGGCGCGTGAAATCGACTTCATCCGGCACGAAGACTGGCCCTCCTCCAGTCCAGATTTGAATCCGTTAGATTACAAGATATGGCAACACTTGGAGGAAAAGGCGTGCTCAAAGCCTCATCCCAATTTGGAGTCACTCAAGACATCCTTGATTAAGGCAGCCGCCGATATTGACATGGACCTCGTTCGTGCTGCGATAGACGACTGGCCGCGCAGATTGAAGGCCTGTATTCAAAATCACGGAGGTCATTTTGAATAAAATTTAGTGTCATAAGAATCTATGTTTTGTTAAGTTCATTTTGGTATATGAATGGTTACATAATGAATAAACTTGTTTCAATTATTTTACATTAAACATGTGACAGAATTTATGACCTGACTAGGTATAATCTCAGTAAAGGGAGTATATTTACTGTGACTTTTTCAGTAGACTTTTTCGAAGATCCCCAGAAGGTACGTTCAGTGGCTTTGTTTCATTTTCCCACATTTGTGTAATTTCACAGATACTAAACAGGTAATAAACCACCGTTATTACATATTTAAACCTGAAGAAATACTAAATAGATAAACAATACAATTCATACAACATAGCACCACGTGTTCCCGCCAAAAATTATTCCCTAAAAAGTACAATTCTGTAGCGGTTTTTTTGTTCACATTGTTCTTTCATTAGACAGGAAAAAGAAGCGTATCTCATACAGCCAAATCTCAAGCAAGAGATATTGTCTTACATGCCGCGGGTGTGACATCTGACACTTCTTGACACTCAAATAATTGACCGAATGACCGAATGAGTTTCTGCGACTAGCAATATTTTTTGTTGTTTGACAGTTTCGCGATTTATTTATCTCACAACAAATATAAAAGAAAGTGATCATTTTGTGAATTTTGATCCACTACTTTTTAAGTATTCCAATAACAAATATACGGAAGCATTTATTACTAGCGGATTATTAACGAGTAAGGATAAATGATTTTGATATATTCAGACATATGTTGCTTCGTAAAACAATTTTGCTGCAAGGTGTAATAGTGAGTTTTTAGAAATTATTTGGTAAATCATACATAATTAAACGTTTTGCTTCAAAAGCACACTATTCAAATGTGTTATAACTTTGAATAAGCGCTAGTAAACACTAATAAGTAACAAAGGTCATTTAATTTTGAAAACGTACGTATGACTGTTTGAAGAAAAAAAATCACATGGAATGTAATTATCAAGGGACTAATTTTCAACTATCCCCTTTCATTTCATTGCCAAATTATGATGGACGAAATTTTTACGTATTATATTTTAATCTACTTTCACTTTCAGGTGAGAGTAATGTAAAAACCAAAATAACATAGATTGGAGTATCACAAAATAATCCAAACTAAGACAGGAACAATGAGTACTGGAGGACCACAAGTTGCAAACAACTTGCCGCCTGGAGTAAATCCAGAAAACAATTTTTTACCAGGCGGGCCAGTTATCAATGCAGGAATGAATCGAAATCGTAACAATAATCAAAATCCACTGTTCAATGTCAGAGAAAGATTATTTCATGCATTATTCTTCAAGTTTGCCGTTGCCTATGCACGGACATTTCCAAGGCCAGTACGAAGATTCTTTGAATTTCTTGTACTCCTAAAAGCAATATTAGCCTTTTTTGTGCTAGCTTACATACATATAGCATTTTCAAGGACACCTACGACATGTTTGAACCATGTGAAAGATTCTTGGCCCAGAGATGGTATACTGAGAGTTGAAATACTAAGAAATCCTTCAGAAGATTATTCTATTGAACAAAGCTATGCAAAAGAACGTAAATTAAAGAAAGATAAAGAAGAGCTTAATTCTATGCTGGGGATGTTAGCTACTGAAGGGTAAGCACTTGCATTTTCTTGAATGTTAATACTAGAAAAAAAATGCCTATTAAAATTTAGTAGTTTTTAATGTGTGAGAGGTCCTTAATTCAAATTATATGCAACCTTGTCAACAGAAAATTACTGGCCTTGACTTAGTGTTCTTAAATTATAAGTGATTATAAAACACATATTGGTGTATGATTTACATAATTTTAGAAATTTTAAATCAATGCTTGTCCTCTTAGTGACCTTTTTTTGTTGCACCTGCATTGTGTTAAAAAAAGTCATTTTTGTTGTGGTGACTTCAAAGGTGACTCAATAATGAAATATATATATATATATAAGTATGATATTTTGAAATTGATGCTTAAGTATTAATAGCTTACACAATGTCTGTGAAACATAAAATTAATGTTATAAAAATAATGATGTTTGGCACCTATTAGCTAGTCCCATTTTAGTTTAAACTAATTAAATCATAATTAAGTAAGTTTTCAATGCTATAATGGGGAACTTTGGTGTTAAAATGTGTATATTAATTTTTTTAGTCCGTCAATATTTTTACGCAAGTTAAATGTGCCTACTCGAATCTGATAAGACCTGTTTTTACTATTAATTAAATATTTTATTAAATATGTAAAGCTTATGAATAAAAGTATTTTTTTGTAAGGTCATTCTCGTCTAGGTGTTCTTTGGCTATCAGTCAATTTAGTAACCTTGACACTAAATTATCTAAAAGTAATAGCAATTAAATGAAGGTTTTATTTTAAGTTCACATTTGATGCAATGCTGTTTTTGTTTAAATATTATAAATATTCTGGTACCAAGCATTCTGCGCAAATATTCAGTTACTGTTGGAAAAAGAATTGTTCCATGTTGTGTGTTAACTGATATTTTTAATATTCCATAACAAAGCAAACCATAGGTACCCCTTTAAATGGAATGAAAATTGGAATTGAATAACTAAGGGTATTAAAATTAAGGTCTATATTAATTTTATGATATACATAGAATACATTAATTAATGAGTTTGAGATGTAATTATGGTTTTATAATATATTGCATTATTCAAAGTGCTAAAGTGTCTCCTTTCAAGTCACACAGCATATAACTCCATATAAAGTCATTGTTGCTCATGGACATCATGCCAAGAGCAAAGCCATATCCAGGCCAATAACCAATAATATTTCAAAGTGGGCCACTATATGCATATTGTGATGTCCGATGCTATAAACCCTGAATACAAGTTGGGTTATAAGCAGTCTACTAATGATAAGAAATACCGTCATAATAGGCACTATATTGGTTGTGTCCCTAGCAGTGCTTTTATCCATGAGCGACGGTGATTACTTATCAACAGGTGGGCTGTAAGCCTACAAAACTATCTCTGAAATAAAAAAAAAATGATATCTTGTTACTTATTGTTTCGAAAAAATTTATATTTCAGTTTTGTCAATATTGAATCATCAACTAGCGATGACATAGAAGATGATGATTACATACGAGATGGAACAGATTATGGGAACATTACTAGAATACATGAGGACGAGGATACTTCCCAAGGAATTGTAGAAACTTCATATGTTGACAAAACAGAGGATGTGAATGAAGAACTTGATCTTAATACAACTATAGTTTCTGGAGAAGATGTTGAGCCTTCTTCCTCCATATGGGAAGGGATTCTGGGTCTAGTGGAAGATATAGACAAGGATTCTAAACTAATTGATGTAAGGAAAATATTTTAATGTAATAACTAAATGACATTATAAGTAAAAAAAGTTTTATAGTAAATTCATTTAATATCCAGACTGGAGCGATGGTATCATCTAAACTAAAAACATAGCTTTCCCTTGTAAATAATGTAACGTATTTAAATTCAGTATTGTAGCAAATATATAACTATTATATTTTACTACCTATTTATTCTATAGTAACTGACCCGGCAGACTTCGTAGTGCCTCAATCGATAAATAAAAGACCTAAACTTTTGTATAAAATAAACTTAAAACAAACAAAAGCTGGTATCCGTCCGACGGGGGACACATCAAAGGATAAACAAAATTGTAATTTTTATTTAATTCCGAGCATTTTCATATTTATCTACCATTTAAGCTTTCTCTGGACTTCCACAAATAATTCAAGACCAAAATTAGCCAAATTGGTCCAGCCGTTCACGAGTTTTAGCGAGATTAACGCACAGCAATTAATTTTTATATATATAGATTGTTACTAACGTACCAACTTCTAACCTATTGTTTCTAACAAAATCAATAAAAAATTTAACCAAGGTTGAACATAATTGAATGTGCATAAAATATTAAATTTAATATGGTATTTGTAATGAAATTATACAGCATAGCAATGTTTAGTAGTAATTTAATTTGTAATATTAAGACAGTGTTACTGACATCGTTAAAAGCAACACTAGGTTTCAAATCTTGAAGTCAATATAATTACCATGTAAAAAATATTTGAGTAAATTTGAATATCATATTTATTTGATGTATCATAGCATAGCACTATATTATATTTTTCGATTTAAGGAAAGTCCATCGTCCCTAACTTGTAAATTATATATTGGAGAGATAGATAAAGACATTCCTGTGGCTTATGACATTTCTTAAACCATTATGAAGATTCTTCGAATTTCCTGTACTCTTGAAAGATATATTAGCTTATTTTGCCCTTGCTTTTATAATATAGCATTACCCCATAGACACAACCCACTGATTTTTCGCCGGTTTTTCTCACTGGGTCGCGATTCCGATCCCGCGGTAGATTCTGTGAAGCACTGCGCTAGTGTTGCCAGATTCTCTCAGGTTGGGAAGAAAAAAACTTGCACTACGACATCAACAAAATCTGTGAACTGTATCAGAGTTCTGGAGATAATTAATTGTATGTAATAAGGCTTATGTTGATTTTGAAACGTATATTATAGTTTTTATTTAATAAAATATTACCATTGATATGTTTCAGGAATCTCTAGATGAGTCAGCCGCCAATGAGTCTTCAAAAGGTAAGAAACGTTATGTTACATTGATAATATAATGTCCTTTGCGCATAATGTTTCTGTTTCACAACACTTTTTCTTTGTCCGTTTTTGCTATTCTTGGCAAAGGAGCATACGGTCTCTTTGATGGTAAGTGGTTACATTCGGTGAACATCAGCAGTATCAAAGGCACAGCCAAGCTGCTACCTACCACCATTCGCTTTTATTAAGTTCATAATTGCAGGAAACTTACTGGTGGTAGGACGTCTTGTGAGTACCACGCGTAGGTACCACCACCTTGCCCATTTCTGCCGTGAAGCAGTAATGCGTTTCGGCTTGAAGGGTGGGGCAGCCGTTGTACAGTAAAAACTGAGACCTTATAACTCATGTCTCAACGTAGGTGGCGCAATTTACGTTGTAGATGTCTATGGCCTCCGGTAACCACTTAACACCAGGTGGGCCGTGAACCTACCTAACCAATAAAAAAATATCGATTTAATAGTTCAAAAATTACATTGAACTTGTCCCATATGTCTTCAGAATGTATATATATACATACTAGTCGTACTCGCCCGCTTCGCTGGGCATTTAAAATGAACATTATTATTTATTGTCATTATTATTAGGGAGACCAACACTCATATAAATATTAGCCTATCCATTAAGTGTATGTATTTTCTACATGGATACCATGTTTCAAGTCAATCGGATGCACGGTTCAGTAGTTATAACGGAACATCCGTAAAAACCACTGTAGATTTATAGATGTATTTTTTTTTTTTATTGCTTGAATGGTTGGACGAGCTCACAGCCCACCTGGTGTTAAGTGGTTACTGGAGCCCATAGACATCTACAACGTAAATGCGCCACCCACCTTGAGTTCTAAGGTCTCAATATATAGTTACAAGATAGTATATATTTACAGATGACGACTACATACTCGAGTACTCCCTCGAGTACGGCTTCCTCCGGCTGTCGCCGAGCGCCCGACTCCGCCTCAAGATACCCGTGAAGATCGTAACGTTGGACCCCCAGCGCGATCAGTGCTTCGGAGATTCCTTCTCCCGCTTCGTCCTCGACGAGTTCCTCGGCTATGACGATCTGCTGATGGCCTCGATAAAGACCCTCGCTGAACAAGAAGATAACAAGGGGTATTTGAGGTATGTTTGACTTGAGCGAATTAGATTATTTTAGAAGTGTCAAGAGAGAGAGAGAGAGAGTATTCTTTATTGTACACCAACAAAAGAAACAACGCGAAACATTAAATACAAAAAAAATGTACGATTAGCGGTCTTATCGCTTAGAGCGATCTCTTCCAGACAACCATCAGGTGGAAAAGAATCGTTTGGAAACTAATTACACGCGGTGTACCACGTATACACGTACACACGTACATATTACCTATATATAAATACACAAATTCCTTACATATATACATTTATAAAATATACATACTAATACACAATGTAACGTAATAATAATTTCAAGTAAGTGTCAAATTTGAATTTCAAGTGTTATTTTATTTATGCAGAAAATTATATAGTATTTTTGATTTTGGTAGAGGAAAAAAGCAATCTAATTTTATTCTTCGAAAATTAACGTGAATGTATATTTAGTTTTGAAATATCATCATATCTTATCGCAAGATATCGTAAACAATGTGAAATAACATCGAACACTGACTGGCAAATCAATCAATAAACGATTTAAAAATCATTGATTTTGACTATTATAGAACTATGTAATTACAAATGAAGACGCATTAAACGATTGAAAATAAAAACTTTCACGGCTGACACTTTCTTGTGAAATTTATATATTTAATTGGAAATAGAAGAATTCGTTAAAAGAGCTAATAAAAAGTTTGAAACTTGTAGTCCGTATTTTATGTTTCTTTGTTTTTCATATAGTACCTACGTTCCTTGAGGTTTTTTTCTGAATAAACTTATTATTTATTTATTTAGATATACTTCGTAATGGAGTATGAGTTACATTGCATCTCATATTTTATGTTTGTTATGATCCCGTCTCGATTGCCTCACTGCATTGTTAGCTGCCTGAATATTCTTTTTTTTATTTCTTTTTATTGCCCTCGTAGGCAGACGAGCACACGGCCTACCTGATGGTGAGTGGTTACCGTCGCCTATGGACTAGCAATGCCAGGGACAGAGTCAAGCCGCTGCCTACCGCTTAATACTTTCCACAAGCCTCGTTTGAAGAAGGACATGTCAAAGCGCTCGGGAAACACACACTCTAATCTAGTTAGTCTCTGGAACCACTGCCTTCATCCATAATGCGTTTCCAGAGAACGTTTTTAGCCTTTTCCAAGCCAATCTGGAACGTAATGCTCTCTGAAAGAAATTAGGCTTTGAATTAATTATTTTCAAGGTTCTGTAATTAGATACTTTTATCGTTTCTTTAAATTACGAGTACGCATTACTTAATTTTTTTTTATTTTTTTTTTATTGCTTTGATGGATGGACGAGTTCACAGCCCACCTGGTGTCAAGTGGTTACTGGAGCCCATATACATCTACAACGTAAATGCGCCACCCACCTTGAGATATAAGTTCTAAAGATCTCAGTATAGTTACAACGGCTGCCCTACCCTTCAGACCGAAACGCATTACTACTTCACGGCAGAAATAGGCCGGGCGGTGGTACCTACCCGCGCAGACTCACAAAATGTCCTACCACCAGTAATTTAAAACACAATTGCTTTTTTTTTTAATGTACTTCGCATGCGTAATACTTGACTTTCACGTTACATCATTCCATCTCCGACAAGTGTTCGTACCGAAAACAGAATATTAATATTCATATTGTATGTAGATGCGGTGTTATTGCATTACAGCTTAAAAACGATACGATGATAATTCGATTTGTGTAATCTAAAGATTTTTTTTTTATCTTAGAATTTTCTCAGAAAACACTGTCTTGAGAAGTTTAATGCATATTTTTATGATGTCTTACAGCCTCATAAATACTTAACATCGTGTAAGCCGAGCTCTATCCCCCTTCTGTGGTCAAAAGCAGGGCTGAACTCTGATTTAATTTATTAGTTAGATTTAAGTTATTAAATTAGCCATTTTTTTTTAAAGAATATAATTAAATATCATATTAGAAGTGTTAATGTAGGCTGGTTATTGAATGATCTCTTTGTAATAAAATTAAGAAAACAATAGTTATTTTAAATACAAATACAATGTACAAATATAACAAAATAATTTTGGAAAAACCCAACTTGTTTTGCATGAACCAATCTCCATGGCTTCAACATTAACAAGGCTTACCTATACATATATACTAAATTTAAACTGCTCGTAACCTCGAGGGTTATGCTAGTTTCACCGAACGTGTCGGCGAGCTGACGGGGCTTGTCCTGAAAGACTTTGCTAAGATCTGCCCTAGTAAGGGCAGTGCTTCGCTGTATCTACCACTGAATCGGGATCGCGACCCGCTGCGATCTAGGGAGAAACTCAGTGTGCTTTGTCTGTGGGCTTGCACGACGAACTCTTCATCGCATTCGACGTGTTTGATTAGAACGATGACCAGTGCTTGAAATGCATAAAAGCACTGAAAGTAGATTGGAGGGATCTTAAATGAATTGTTTATTGTTTATCGTCTGCATCGGGTACGTTGTTTACGGCGGCCGCGATAAGAGGATTATCACATTGCGTGGCTTTTTCGAAGAACCTATTTCTTATCCAAAGCAGTGAAGCGTTCTGGTTTGTGAAGGTTGCGATAAGTGTTATACGGAGACTCCGACCTAATGTCTGTAGAGGTGGCTGGAATTCAGCTTGGGGTGTTTATGGGTTTCGATATTAACATAAATTCAATGCCTCGTCACTCGTCTGCGCATTTAGATCTTGTTCTTCTTTGTTTCCATCTTATCTGACTAGGTGAGGTCGGCATTTAGATCATTAAATAAACTCTAGTTCAGCCAGTTAATATTTCAATTCGTTAACTAGACGTTGTTAAGTCAGCAAGTGTCCCAATCTCCAATCCTCAGATGTATGTATTGTATTGTATTATATTGCATTGTTTGTTTCAGGAACGTGATCACCGGCGAGCATTACCGTTTTGTTTCGATGTTGACGGCCCGCAGCTCATACGTAGCGGCTTTCTTTATTATGCTCGTATTCGTAAGTATATTAAAAAAATATGATTAAAAAAACAAATAAAAAAACACTATCTAAAGGTCACAGCTCATTAGAGCCATCCGGCGCTGACTCTGTACCGCCTCGCCTCGTGAGGTTAGACTATGTCGTAAGCCCCACGCGCGGATAGCGGGTCGACCACTCGGCGACAACCCCCATGCTTGCCTTACAGCGACTGCGCATTGCCAACGCTGCCTACGAATGATCCACGTGAGGACGGCACATACCAATAGTTAATAGACTACTCGATTGACCACATACTAAATTCGTTGAACAAGCGACGTCCACTCGTTAACCACATAGCGGCCACCCGTGGACCACTTGTGGACATCGAGTGGACGTCGTCCGGCGAGGCGGTGCGGACTGGGTGCCCGGGTGGCTCAAATGAGCTTAACCTTACTTTACCGAACCCGTCGCTTGCGACAAAGGGCTCGACGAATAAATTAACCCACAGACACAGCCCACTGAGTTTCTCGCCGGATCTTTTCAGTGGGTCGCGTTTCCGATCCGGCGGTAGATTCTGCGAAGCACGGCTCTTGCTAGGGTTCGTGTTAGCAACGTCGTTAGGTTTGAGCCCCGTGAGCTCACCTACTATTTAAGGTTACGCTGAAATAGCCTCTCAAGGCTATCAGCTTAGGTAGGAAAAAAAAGGGGAAATTAGTGTTAGGATTCTCATTTCATACGCCACAATTGACATGCCAAACCGTGGTACGTGAGGAATGTCGACCTTTACGATGATATAAATTTAGAACCGATACGTAAGTATCTAAAGGTAGTATCAAAACGCTACTTGGAGAAAGCGGTACGACACAATAATCCTCTTGATCGGATCGCCAATCCGCTAATTACATATCCGATACAGGTGACGGGCTTACAAAAGCCGCTGTCGCCCGAAACATTCCTTGTCGGATCCTCAGGATCCACTCTCGGTGCTTTTAGGCTCATCAAGGACCGGTCACCGTCCTCCTCGAGCTTGCCGATTACGACGAAAAGTTCGACGAACAAACTAAACCATAAATAAACACAGCCCACTGAGTTTTTCGCCGGATCTTCTCAGTGCGTCGCGATTCCGATCCGGTGGTGGTGGAACATTATAACCAGACTGGCGGTGTCATCCCTAAGACGCCCGATCGGCGGCTCGTCGAGCGAGCGGTAGTGGATCCTAAATATTTTGGGCTCCGAGGCCTAGGTTGGATATGTAGTTAGAGGCGGCCACCATAAGTGGGTTATCATGACGCGCCGCTTTTTCGAAGAAGCGTTCTAACGTTGTCTTCAGGTTAATTACCTATCAGTTGTAAATGGAGGTCGTCGTGGAATTTAGATTCCTCATATACCACGGTTCTCCGACGGGCTATTTCACAGAGACGGGATTGGATGACCAGCCGATAATTTATGTGTGCGGGCCGCGTGTGTGAACACTATACTTGCCTATCTCATGATAACAGTAATACGAGTATTTGTTACAATTGGTAATTTAATTTACAAAATTGAATCTAACATTATGTAGCGCCATCTAGAAACGAATAGTCAGGTTACAAAGTACGAATTTACGAAACGAAATTATAACCTATCATACTGCCATCTAGTGCCAACTAGCATACTTTAGGGTAACCTCTCAAGATTGTGTTACTAGTAGGAATTCGAGAATTGTCTGATGTTGAAAGAAATACCCAGATGGTGCTGTTTTTATACTTTCAAATGACGGGAAAGGAGTACTTATAAATCTTGATAATATAAAAAAGACTTAATTAGCTCCTTCTTCTCCGTGTTTTTGTATTTTTTTATTCGAGCATTATGCGAAAATTACGGGAGTATGTTTTTTTTATTTTTTTTTATTACATTATTTAGTCAGCGAGTTCACGGCTTGATGTGTGGTTACAGGAACTCGTAGACGTTACAATATGAAAGCAGCCACCCACGACGTAAGGTTGTTTTTGCCATGGCATTGTATAATGGCAACCCACTCTACAAAGCGGAGAATATGACTACTTAGCGGTAGAAGGTAGTACCTTTCCGTGCGGATCTACAAAAAGTGTAGTGGTAGGGCCACTACTAAATACTGGTTGGCCATCACGCTGGTATACTACCCAAAGAACGATACCGTCCACGCGTTGGCCTTTTTGAATTTAGAAGCTTATGATAGAATTTGAAAATTGGTAAAATTTAGCTACAACTATGGAAGTCAGATATAGACTATAGTCGTCGTGGCCTAAAGGATAAGATTCTCAGTGCATTCGTATTCAAACGATACAACGATGTTTGAATCCCGCAGGCGGGTACCAATTTTTTTAATGAAATACGTACTTAACAAATGTTCACGATTGACTTCCACGGTGAAGGAATATCCTTCTTCCTATAAATTCCTGTAATAAAAATTAAACCTCCAAATGATAATTTTGTTCGTGATAGGACGTCTTGAGTCCGCACGGGTAGGTACCACCACCCCTATTTCTGCCGTGAAGCCGTGCCGTTTCGGTTTTAAGGGGGAGGCAGCCGTGGTACAATTTAGGTCTTTGAACTCTTGTTTCAAGGTAGGTGGTGGTGGTATTTACGTTATAGATTTCTAAGGCCTCCGACAACCACTTAACACCCGGTGGGCCGTGAGCTCGTCCACACACCTAAGAAAAAAAAATTAAAAACAAAAACCTATTGTGCACGTTTTGTTTTGTTCAAATATCACTCGATCGATTCGACTCTTTGTGGATTAGTGGCACGGCTTACAAAGCACTTAGAGCAATTGGAATGATTAAAAACACTTTTAACGTTTAATATAGCGCTTATTTTATGCATTTCCGCCGTTTATTTTATAGTTTCCGTTGTAGATGTACTAAATTAGGCAGCGGCGTGGCTCTGCCTCTGGCATTGCTGAAGTCCATGGGCGGCGGTAACCACTCACCATCAGGTGGGCCGTATGCTCGTCTGCCTACAAGGGCAACAAAAAAAATAAATCATTTAATTATAAATTTCGATCACGGATTCCATTCCATCATGAAGATCTTCCACCGAGCGAGTGATATTGCTCGGTAGACCGACCGTCCGAATGTTGTTGTTCAGAACTATAGGCATCTGTCAAATATCTTTTGTTCTGTGATGGCTACTACCACTCTTTTTTTTCTTAAGATTTTTTTGTTCTTTTGTTTTTGTTATCGCGGTGATCGTCGCACTGACAGTGGCGTCAAAATCTATGAATCTAAAATCTAAAATATTATAGCTATATATTTAACGACGTCTCTGCATTCTTGTTTTAACACCCGAGCGACACAATCCGGGAGTAGTAGGAGGAGCGACCACGGTTAACTCTGTCATCAGAAACGCGACCGACACAGTCGTCGCCCAAATTAACGATGCACACGAGTCCCATGAAGCTCCTACAGGGGTTGGAACTAGATGTAAGACTGCCCCCGCCGCCTGCTATGAAAGAATCTCAGTTGAAATTCACTTATCTCGATTTAACTCATATATTTAAATGAATTTAAACATATTCACCCACTGGCCATACAAACACACCAAATAGGGCTTAATTTAGGTTTCGACATTTTTAAATATAACTAGTGATAGTCCAGTTGTCGAAATTCGATTATAATTATTAATTTAAATCATAAGTTGAAAATTATTATGGTTGTATTGTCAAAGACTACGTTTATAATCACAGATTTCGCTAAGACATCGTTATAGATAAATAACATAATAAAGACAATTTTATCTATTCTCAATTTGACCACAGACTTTACAAATAAAAAGAAGATTTTATATGCGTGTGTGTAATGTTTCTTTTCTTGATTTAATGTATTTTTATGCATAATTTGAAAAAAATAAAAGCATTCTGCACATCTCTATATTCTCTATAAGTGTTAAGTTTTGCTTTACGTATTAATATATAAATTATATGTTCTTGCAAATCGTTCGTGATGTATATTGTTTATGAAAATCGGATATATTAGGAACAAGCTCTCTTTCGGATCGGTTTTTTCAATTTTTATTCTTAAAACTATATACTATCCATTTTGATAACTAGAATCGATACATTCACTAAATCCAGTATCATACAGCTTAGCCCAAGATGTATTACAGGCTTACTACTCATTTTAAAATTTTGTATCAAGGTACACTGATATGAAAATGGAGTAGCTTATATGATTTACCAGGGACATCTAACGAACAAGCAACAAGATGAGTTGTGATTTTTCTGTCCATCTATAGTAGTAAAAAAAAACTGGACACACTTATGTCTTAAGTACTTTTCGTTCACGTATTCTTCTCCTAAATTATGGCTGCAAGAAACATACACGCATAGAATAGTAAACTCAGAACCTGAAGGCCAAAAATCTTTATCATAGCGACTGGGAATGATATATTAGTTAGAGTCATTACCAACTAGAAGACGTTTAGTGGATAGAGCTCTAAAAACCTCCTTGGGCTCCCGATATGCTACAAACATCTGTAGACTGTCAAGTTCCATATTCCCCGGGCGCCCTTAGACGCGGACAGATCGTAAAGGATCCGGTCAACTGCTCAAAAAAAAAACAAATCTGACCAACGACACGCCGATATCCAATCGTAATTTTAGGAGGTTCCTACATATCTACATAATTCACGAAATTAACATAGATGCAAAGCACCACTGTGCATAATAAATAACTTTGTAAAGATAAAATTGGAAATATTTACTGCAGTATACGAAACAGAGCCCGCGTTTCCTTTTAAGGCAGCGGAAATTTATTTACTGTCGAGTACAAACAATTCAAAACACGTATAGTAAAGTTAACACACATACATCACGATTTTCCCGTATAGATTGGTCGAATGTTTTATATGACAAATCTATAAATACAAGATAATATTCGGTTTCTCAGGTTAAACTATAACAATTAATCTCATCGATTCTAGGAAATCACTATTTTGATACTTTATATTGTTGTTATATCTTGTGTTTTATGGTATTATTTTCTTATGATGAGAATGAGATATTAAATGACACTACCACAGTATCATAATTACAGAAAGCTAATGAACTGAAATTAATAAAATTTCGTATACCAAATTTTTTAATTGTAATATTAGAGTAAGATGGCCCTGGGATCTTGGACTATATGTATTGTTGGTGTTGTAAATATATCAAAATACAGATGCTACTAGTGACATCTCCTGATACTTATTTATAATAACTAATCTGTTTCATTACATTCGATTTATTAAAGCTCGGTCATTCGCTTCCCGTCACAGTTTGAATCGCGTTGTTTTATTTTAGTTGGTAAATCACTGCTGGCCATATCATCACTATGAACCGTAAAAAATAATACATCAACGAAATTCGATCGATATTTCCGAGTAACCTACATTACGGATCAATTAATAGGGTATCACTCGAGGTGCGGTCCGCACGCTACTAAAATCGGGACTCTCTCCCCGACATACAGTTATTGCTCTTTTACAGCCCTTTCAAACTTTATTACGGCACCAAATTCCTGGGTCCGCGATGCACGCCCACGCTTCGTAACTCACCTTATGTTTGTTTTACAGAGCTCTTTGTAAATAGACCGACTCTTTTGAGTGGAATTTTGGAGTTCGTATTTTTCGAATGGTTCGCGGAAAAGAATTTTCGTTTAGTTTCGAACGGCGAAATCGCGTAAATGAAAATGAAAATTTAATGTTTAATTATTTTATTTTATTGCTGAAAGAAAAACATTGTATTACAAAAGTACTTAAACACATAACTGTAACGCGTACTTTTTTATTTTATTTTTTTATTGCTTAAATAGGTGGACGAGCTCACAGCCCACCTGGTGTTAAGTGGTTACTCGAGCCCATAGACATCTACAACGTAAATACGCCACCCAGCTTGAGATATAAGTTCTAAGGTCTCAAGTAAGTCACAACGGCTGCCCCACCCTTCAAACCGAAACGCATTACTGCTTCACGGCAGAAATAAGCAGGGTGGTGGTACCCACCCGCGCGGACTAACAAGAGTTCTACCACCAGTAATTACGCAGATTGTAATTTTTGTGGATTTGATTTTTATTACACGATGTTATTCCTTCACCGTACTATAAAAGTTGTGTTTGAAAATAACAAGTAAATTAAGATTTTTGTATTATCAGTCTAGTATCAAAAGACAAAGCAACGCGTTGCTTTATACTAGCCCATCGTTATAAATTATGTCGTCGCATTTCAATCGAAGTAGCTCACCTTTCGGAATGGTTGATTACCTTAACTCTTCCCCCGTGACGTGTATTCCTTACATGCTCTTATATCACGCTGTCAACGAGCCGAGAAATTGCATTAATTAAATTGTCGAACAACATGACGAAATATTTGCCAGGATACTAAAATTTAGTGAGGACAGAAGTAAGCACTGCAGTCTTTGTATAAAGCTACACAGCATTTACATCTAAATATTACTGTCTAAATTATATTTGAACATTAACGAGGCAACAAATAGTGCTATTAAACCAATAGTTCTATTTTTATATGTCAATTTTTAAAAAGTGTTATAAAATATCTTTACTTTGTCGACTGAATGACATTCTATAATAGAGTACTTTCAAGTAATTTTTCTTTCTTTCTATTCCATTCCATTCGGTCCTCTAGGACTCTGTATGCTGAGCGATATTTGAAATAGAACAACTCATATTTTACTCTTGCTACTTTTATGTTGTACGTTATTTCTGTACTATATAACTTGAAGAAACCAGACATGAACTAGTTTGGTGGGTAACTTCTTCAATCTATACATATTTGGTCCTCATACAATAAATATACAGGGTGTTCCGAATACTTATGGCAGCGTCATACCTCAATTAAATTACCAAACTAGCAGCTACCATGTTTGATACCACTGTTTAATATTTTGTAAAATTTGTTTACGTTATCATTATAAACAGAAAGACCATCAGATTTAGAAAATCTGTAGTCGGAAATAGACAGGACGTGGTTCGAAAATCATCACGCCTATTCTCTCCTAGGTATTTTTGACGTTCAGTTTTGGGTACATCCTGTTCATAAATATATTCATATTATATCATGTGAAATGTATAGAGGAAAACGGTGCGACGCCACGCGTATATGTCACCAGTCTTTATTTTACACAGTTGGCGGTCTATGTAAATCTTCCCGTAAAAATAGTCAACTTTGAGATCGCTCAGTGGTTTATACAAGAGTACGTGTCCGATGTTTTTGCACTTTATTTATGTGACTTAGTTTAATATTAGATCCTTATTTATCTCCACAAATTAGTACTTGGTAGAGTGGATACGAGTAAAATGCTGTTGGAATAATTAGTCTGATAAAACGTAACGTCAAACAGACTACGAGTAGGTATATTGTTATGTAGATGATTGATACGGCTTTTGCGTTTTATTTTTGTTACACAAACCTCGTTCCACAACAATGCTATTCTTAAGTTTCGCGGGTGTAATTTCCAACCAAGACCTTCAAACTCTTGGCTTTCAATGTTTACGAAAGGCATACGCTTGTGTGGTTGTTATGTTGAAGGAAACTTCCCAATGTTAATGTGGCATATGCTTCGAACAAAATGTGTACGGTACACGTTCTCCCGAACTGGAAGCTGAATTTCTAACTCGGTAGTGCTTCATCAAGGTAACTACGGTTCGCATAACAATTCTATATCGGAAGTTGCCGGCGGAACGGGAACAATGAAGTGTATAAACCTACTTGCGTTTGATCGATCACTATAAGTTAGGTACCCAATAAACGCAGAAGCCGGCTTATTAACCGCTACGCCTTTTAATATTAACGATCGATGCCCGGCTCTTTAGTTTACGGCTACCGTAAAAACTAACAGCCGCCGGTGGCCGGATTACGCACGCTCCATTGACCGATGGACGTTGCTGCACACGGTCCGACGCGTCTTGTCGCATTTTGTGTCGCCGCGTCTATTCTAAAATCCTTTCAATACGTTGATGAATAAAAAAAGATATGCCGAGACTATAGAGAGCATAATCCTTAAATTGTAGTTTTTCTTAGTCGTTTGCAATCTGGACAGAGTGGTCGTGGTCATCAGTTCGGTTAGTGGTACGCTTCACAAGATGTCGCCATTCCTCGCATACCGCCACCTTTCTTGTGCACTCCTTGACGGGACCGGTCTGGTACCCTCAATTGTACCTAAATTGTAATAGAAAATACTGATTCGTGAACGCTAAATGGGTGTGATTCTAAAAGGCTTTAAAGAATATCGTTACCTGGCCTAAATGTGTAGGTAATATCGTAGCATATTTTTGCACATTTCGACCCTTAACTATCAATCACTAAGAAGTCAGGAGTAGATCGTTTTTTTTTCTCTCTCTAACTATGTTACTTTGGCGATTTGAGGAAAACATCTGTTAAGTTTTGTGTATCTAAAAGTGAGAGTAGCACGTCCCCGCGTGTGGCCGCTATCAATCTTTTCGCCACATCATTTGCTCCCCGCACCGCCTCGCCTCGATTGAATTTCATTAACGAAACGCTTAGTGCAGATTGAATCCATTTAAGTAACAGTGAGACGGGACTCTCTTCCGTTACTTAATTGTTCATTAAATTGGTGAAAACTGAATGTTTTTAAAACTAGCTCTTATTCTGCTTAAAATCTTTAATCAACAATGGTTTTCGACGTTTCGAATAACACTGTTCACTGATAAATTTACGTTCCACTAATGAGAGATTAAGATAATGGTTGAACATATTAATCAATAATTTGGATAAGGTTTTTTTTGACGCACCTGTACATGTTAAAAAAATCTGTAAAAGTACTGCGGTGATAATTTGGTCGTGATCGGATAATGTAGGTATTTGAAGTCAACGTGGTCTAAATGATAAGACGCCCTGAGCGTTCGTAACGAGCGATGCGACTGTGTCGGTGTTCGAATCCCACAGACGAGTATCAATTTTTCTAGTGAACTATGTGCTTAGCCCGTGTTCACAAATGCCTTCCACGGTGAAGGAACAACATTATGTAAATCAAACCCGCAAAAATTAGTAATTGCGTAATTACTGGTGGTACGGCGTCTTGTGAGTTCGCCGGGTATGTACCGTACCACCTTGCCTATTCGTGCCTTGAAGCAATAATGCGTTTCTGCTTGAAGGGTGGGGCAGCCTAAAACTGAGACTTAGAACTCATGTCTCAAGGAGGGTGACGGTAATTACGTTGTTGATATCTCAAGATTCCGGTAACCACTTAACACCAGGTGGGCCGTGAGCTCGTTCCAAAAGAGCAATATAAAAGAAAGTTACATACTTTAATACTAAATGTACAAGATTTGCATTTTAGTTGACTTGTTTTGAGGGGTAACCCAAAGCGATTTTAAATTTTAACCTCATATCTCAATTTCTCATTGGTATTTAAATTGCATTATCTACGGACCTATCTGTATATCGTGTGGGTCGTGAGTTAATCTGTTGTACAAAGGACGGTGGCATTCAAATTTAATACCAAGTGTATGAGAATGCTCATTTACTAATTGATGTTTTTAAACAAGGAGATAATAAAAATAATTGAATTATTATTTCGGCAGACCGTCTCCATATCGATGTTGCTGCGTTACGCCCATCATCAAATCTTCGTGTTTATTGGTAAGTTTTATTTTCCAAATACATTATTTTCATCAAGCAAGTAATTTCTTTATTTCCAGAATCTCGACTTTGAATGTAACTCGGACCTACTAATATCACTTTGGTTATAATTAAAACTACATTTACGGTTTAATCTCGCCTTGTTTATTGTCGTTATTTTATTTCCGCCATTTTTGGAATATTTTCGTGGTCACGGACGGCTCATCTGGAGTACCTACTTTGTTTGTTCAAAAATATGACGATGAATGCATATCGCTAATTTAAAACATTTCATCATAAAGTTAACACAGACGAATGCCATCTGATATTTCGAATTTAAAAGCAGCCGACTCGAACAGCTAAATGCGATTAACTTCGCATTTAGACTGTTTTCATTCGAACTATTTTTCGGTGTAAAGCGCACCGTATATACTTAATAAGAGTTTTTCAATATAATCGCTCGTATTAATAGCGTCTAGATATTACTTTACCCTCGCTATTATATTGTTCGCAGAACCTTTCGAACCTCTCATAGCGTTTCAAAATCGGAGCGTTACCTAGCAACCAAGGTAGTCAGTGAGATTCGATCCTACTTATTTATGAAGTATGAATTGTAGTGCAATTAGGAGATGCTAAAATAAATTCAGTGAAAAATTCTCGAGTCTTGAGCCGGCTCAGCTTCAATCTCTTTGTAATAACAATAATTGCGAAAAGAGCCCGCGGCCGCGACCCTCCATGAAAAATACAAAAAAAAAAAATTACAACCCGGATTTACGTACCTTGTGCTTCCCCCCACTTTGATCTCTCGACAATTAGCCAGATAGAGATAATTTGTTTCTTTCCGTATTTGCCGCGCCGCCACTTGCCTTAGTGCTTCAATACGATGATTGTTTCGGAATTTGCTTCGTTCATTTTTTATTCCAAGAAATGAAAAATCTCAATTTTCCCCGCCATTATTAACTTCCAACGGGATTGGAGTTGAGCTCAGATTATCTGATGTGTTTTTGTTTGCGAAATCAAACAAGTAATTGGCGTTTATGATGTCAATTTCTTTCACTAAGATCCACTCGATAATTAACTTTAATAATGTCCATTCTCTGCTCGAGCGTGACTATGGCATACAGGATTCACGTTACACTTGTTTTTGTTATGATTCGACGTTTCCCGTCGCTCCGTGTTTATTGATAATATTTTTATTGATGATAAACAATATTATTTCTCATTGCTAATCCACACTAATGAGCAAATAAAATCGGCACCATGATATCAGGTTCCATTATTTCGAGAAAAAAACTTACCTTAGTAAAGTAAACGTTGTTTTGAAAATAATCCTCTTTTAGAATCGTGTGGTGTGTATTCATTGTTCGTATTTTTTTACGTAGTATACTTATCCTTTTGGTGGGCGTGGGCTTCACTATTCAGGTCATTTTTTCGGGATCAGTGACAGGATTTATAAAAGAGATTTAAACTTATACGGTGAGAAATATGAAACGTGTCGTAAATGTACAGGATAATGTTTGCCATTGTCCGCATAATCTAAAAATAAGATTTATCCAAAGATGCTGCAGGATCAAGCTTGTACGATAAAACTTTTCAATGTACAATACAAGGTGCTGGTAGATCTGTTCAATAGGATCCGCTCGGTATCTATGACGACTCATCCCTACTTACCCCGGTTTGTGAATAAACGCAGAGTTATACAGTATTTTTTTTTATCGAAAACCGTTTTTACAATATAAAAGGATTATTATTTTCAGCTCGAATACTTTTATAGTCTTTGCTTCTCGTATATATTTTTTTTTAGAATTTAAATGAATGTTTTTAAATGAGTAGGTAAATGTTAACAGTAAATTATCAGTTTTCAGTATTCAGTCAAAACATTTTGATGACTAATGAAAATAGTGTCTAAAACTAGTTATCTTATTATTTTGTGTAATATAATGAATACAAGCCCAGATTTTAAAGATTAAAACCTACCGAAAAATGTATATTCAAAAAGATTTTAAGTTTTTTGTAGTTTAACGTAAGAATAATAGCAGTTTTAATGTACATAATCTCTATTTCATATTCTTGATTCTGGTAATGTTAATTCGTTTCGGTTAATTAAAAAAAAAAGCAGTATTATTTTATTTTAGTCAAATGAATAATTGATAATATTTGTTTATATATGTTTTTATATGTATATATTTATGTATATCTATAAATATTATGTATGTTATATGAGTCGTCTATTATCAAAGGTGGCAATCTGTGCATTTGGACAAAAAAATGTTATTGATATGTCAATACAGATTGATTTGAATATAATCGTCTCCTTCAAAGAATACGGTTCAAAACCGGCATTAAATAAAGGTTAATAGTTAACCTGTTATTTATCTAAGATGTCGTTCCGAAGAGTTTTGTGACTGCCAATGGAATACAAAGTCAATAATTCGTTTTTCTGATTTACCAATAATTGTCCAAAAGTCAGATTGCCGGCTTTGATAACAGTCGACTCATATATACACATATGTTTAAGTAATATCACCTTCACACTACACCTACCAAGCTTCATCTCTGCACTCCCCTATGGTAGACTGTTAGAGAATGTCTATGGCATTAAGTTCGCCTTTATACTTTCTAGTATTAGAAGTTAAAAATAAAAAAAATAAAAAATATCTGACGCAAAGGACTACATACTACTACATAGTGTAGTTCAAGTACAAATTCTTAATACCTGGTCTCGATATCGGAATGTTTCAGTCGGACTTACAGGATAAACTCTAAGGATCAAACCGAGGCTCATTTTCATAAACGGGCTACCGTTTGTTGTATTTAATACAACGCTGCCGAAATGAACACATTTACAAAGTAATTAATCATAACCCCTGTACATTTAAATAGACTAAACGATTCTTTGTGAAGGAAGGGAATTAAAAATGTAATTAAATCGCCTCTGCTATCTGTTTGTGCTCGATTTTACATTTCTTCTGTTCTATTGTAAGTGAATACATTGAAATGTCTTATTAAAATTATTGTATTTCGGTTTTTTTTATTGCTTAGATGGGCGGACGAGCTCACAGCCTACTTGGTGTTAAGTGGTTACTGGAGCTCATAGACATCTACAACGTAAATGCGTCACCCATCTTGAGATATAAGTTCTAAGGTCTCAATATAGTTACAACGGCTGCCCTACCCTTCAAACCGAAACGCATTACTGCTTCACGGCAGAAATAGGTTAGGCGGTGGTACCTACCCGCGCGGACTCACAAGAGGTCCTACCCCTAGTAAAGTGAAGAAGAATTTTTTAAATTCTTGTAAATAAAATTTTTGAAATTCTTATTAATATCATCTTCTTAATCATCATCATTATCCTGCCCTTCTCCCAGTCACCTGAGGTCGGCGCAACATGTTTTCTCCTTCCATACTCTTCTATCATATACCATTTCTTCGCTCACTCCCCTCCTACCCATATCGTCTTTCACACAATCCATCCATTTCTTCTTAGGTCTACCTCTTCCTCTAAATCCTTCCACATTCATAGTTAACACTCTCTTAACAACCTCATTTTCATTCCGTCTCATCACATGTCCATANCCATTTCTTCGCTCACTCCCCTCCTACCCATATCGTCTTTCACACAATCCATCCATTTCTTCTTAGGTCTACCTCTTCCTCTAAATCCTTCCACATTCATAGTTAACACTCTCTTAACAACCTCATTTTCATTCCGTCTCATCACATGTCCATACCATCCCAAACGTGCACTCCTCAGCTTCTCTGTCACAGGTGCCACTTTCAGACTACCTCTAACATATTCATTCCGTATTCTATCCATTCTCGTTACTCCACACATCCATCGCAACATTCGCATCTCTGCTGCATGCAATCGCCTTTCATCCGCCACTTTCGTTGTCCAACAAGCTGATCCATACAAGACGGCAGGCCTTATTATAATATTATTATAAAACAAGTACCATAGTACATAAATAGGTAGGTACACAAGATGTCACCCATTAAAATATATATGTATTATATTATACCTATATAAAAACATTTTTTCATGTAAGCCATCGAAATCGTCTGTACAAAGCTCAATGTTGACTTGATAAACTCTTGAAGTTAAAAAAAAAAAAAAACATCTCTCCCCCTCCTCTGCAATAAGATCCGGGGCGAGGAAAAGTCGTCAGATTTTATTGACGTCGGCACATCATTATTATCTGCTTATTTTCGTTTTCGCTTCGATACCCTCTAAATACCTTATTGCCATGGAAAATTACGCTCGATTTGAAAGCTAAATAATTGGGAAAATTACGAAGAAAATCGCCTTATCGCAAAATTTGCAAATTAGATACTTATAAGATTAAGTCTAGTGGGATCGAAATGTATATTTTATATTTTCCAATTTCTACTTTAAGGCTTCTCGGAATATCTATCATAGAATCATTATCTTTTGACTTCACATTAACGAATCTATTTTGCTTCTTGAGTAACAGATACTTGAGAACTGTGTACATCAAATGAAAAAAAAATTGATTGGTGGACTTATATGCACTTAACGACATCTATGTGCATATAATGGGCAGCCAGCGGATAGAATATGTATAAATTAATGATTGTCTGTCACGTAACTTGAAATAAAATAAAATGGAAACGTTTTTATTGTTTGTCTACAATGTAGTATCAAATCAAATCAAATCAAATCAAAAAAGTTTTATTCAACATAAATGAAAGTACATACTTGTTGAACGTCAAAAGAACTACCGCCAATTCACAAGAATTAGCCTCCGTCCTGAGAAGAATTGGCAAGACACTCAGCGGGCGTCTTTTTTTTTTTTTTTTTTTTTAATATTAGATTTTTTTAAATATTAATTTTTACAATAAGTAATTATAACATAACAATTTTACAATATTGAAATGTCCGGAGCGAGCAACTCATTCCCACTTTGTGCAATCTTCAGTATGAATGTATGTATGAATTAAAAGTAGTACTTAGAGAATTACCGACATTCAAAATTGTAGTAGTTTTGGTCAAGGACTTTACAAATAAAACCAATAGCAGACGAAGCCGCTCTGAGAGTTGAACGAAGCCATTTAAAGGGCCGTTTTAAAGGGAAGGTTATCGGAAATTAGTGTAAAACGAATTTTCTTGTAAATTTAAACAGTTCTTTGGTTACGTACCTTCAACTGTAGCTTTGTACCAATGTCGCGCAAACCTTCGAGAATGCAAGTTATGTTGTTGAAGATAAGAAATAGCTTACCTTTTTTTTCTTTTAAGATAGGCAAACGCTCTCACGGTAATTTTTCTCTCACTTTGTATTAAGTAGTCATGATAGGCCATTGACACGTAAAATTCACTATCCTCTTAAATATAAGGGTGAAGTCTCGATTGTATGGTACAACTGATCTTCCATCATTCAAACAGTAAAACATGACAACTTTGCGGGAGAAATGGCAGGATGGATCCTTATTCGCTCATATTGCGCCATATCATCAGTAAATTTGATCGTATTATGCTTGTGTAACTCTGAAAACGCCGCTGCCCATTCTCCGTAGAGTCCTCCAGTCGCCTTTGACAACACCCACGCAAAGGTGGACTTGTGTTGTTCTAAGATACAGCCGTATTAGATTTCTCTTTTATTTAGTAAATTATTGTTTTTATACCTAAATGGGTATTGATATCAATACAAATCAACAAAACATTAATTTATTATATTGTTAAAATTGTACACCGCTTTAAGGATGGGATTTCAAATAATTGTATTAAAATAACCTTTAGATATTGAAGCTATAGATAGATAGATACGACGACCGGTGAATTCGTATAGGTCCGTTTACAAATTTTCCTAAAATAATAATAAGCATAGATCTAACACGTGTTCACGAATGATTTCCACTGTGGATGACTAATATAGTGCAGTGCACAAAAGTGACACTACTAATTACTTAAATACTGATATTTACTAGAGATATATTGTGTTTCGATATGGTTCAGTATCATCATTCTGCCTATTTCTGACGTCTACGTCAGACTAATAAAGTAAAACGCGAATCGACAATTATTTATAGGTACATTTTATCTTTTACCTAATTATAAAAGATTAGGTTTCCCATTACACAATATTCATTTTGAAACGTAACGCTTCAGTTCATTAAAAGCGAGCTAAACAACATTCCGTTGTGTAATATTTAAATACGGTTGTTTTCGTAACATCCATTAGGGTAACAAAGCCAAAAAAAATGCTTTAAGCTTCGGAGAATTACAAACATTTTGAAAACCTGAGAATTTAAAGAAGAATATCGGTAAAAAATTACGTCGACCTCTTTTGTTGAACGTTTAATTATCTTGTCGAGATCGCAGAGTTAATTCCGATATTTAATTATGCAAATGTCTAAGCCGTTTTTTTTTCCGGAATAGGAATGAAAATTCCCTGTTATATTCATCAAAGAGGAAGTCGAAAAAATTATGTGTATCGTATTTAGTATTCTGTTTCGGTGCATCGATAGGTTGTTTTTTTAGACATCTTGATTACAATTAGAATGCCTTGGTACTATGGAAGAAAAACGCTTTTGCGAATTATTTTTTTCCATTTTCCCACTTTTTCCCACTATTACCTACTACCGACGAACTAATCACCATTTCGAGCATAGTTCGATGACAATCGCGCGCCCTTTTTTTTTTCAAAGTAGCACTAACTAGTAAGTAAGAAAATAGTTTCAAAATCCTCACGACCTGCATGCATACTTTCTTAAGACGAAAATAACATGATAAGGTGATGAGAATCGATTTGAAATCCATTGTACATTCCATTATACAGTCAGACATGTGTTTTTATAAATCCCTTATTTTAAGTGAAGCTGTTTATCATTTTGCATTTGTATATTTCTATATTTTGATTTTATCTTTATCTTGAAGCTAGTGTGAGCAATAAGAACGAGTGAATGGATATACATTGAACAATGTTTTAATATTGGCACTCCTCTGGTGTGCATTCGATATTACGGTAAAATGATTCTAGGCAGTAAATCGTAGAAAGAACGAAACGAGAAGAGGAAAACGGCGTCGAAATTAATTTCATATGATGAATGATGAAAGATGACGATGCAATTACAAATTTTTCATTTCGAATTCCTAGGAAACCAATTTCATTAGATTCGAAAGCCTTTTTATTTTACAATTTTTATTCTAAAAAAGCTGAAATTTACAGAGTTTTTGATGCTTTTTGTTCATAAAATGTTACCTTTACTTTGATCCCGAACCTTTAAACTATTCAAAAAACACAGCGACGGTGATCCGAGACGCATACATTCGATAAAGCAACTGTATGGATTATCCTATCGTAAGCAAACAAACGTCCACAAAGCTGCTACAAACTAAAAGCCCACGTGAACTATAGTAACAGAAAAGCGATAAAACCTTTATCTTATTACTGATATTTTCCATCCAAAATTCGTGGCACAATGCGCAATAGAGTTCAATCCTTTTGGATGTATTTACATAATATCTTCAGTGATTCTATTTGGTACAGGTAATACACCCATTCTATATGAGTTTAAATTTTGTATCAGGCTAATTATCTAATTCTGAATAATTTCCAAGTTCTCCTCCTCCTTCAGTCGATCGCTCATTGCTGAGCATCGTGATGCGCCCGCCTGTGACCTTTTTTTGTAATTTGTAGCCACTTTTGTCGGTCAGTGGCACAGTGAAGTGCGTGGCTCAGTCTCATGTCCAGATACTCGGACACTTGGTCACTCCATCTTTTTTGGCTCCGACCTCTGGAATTCCCAAGTAAAGCTATTTTATATAAATCTTGTATCGGATTTTGGTCTGTAATTGAATCTTTTTGTTGTAACCAATTCTAAACAATTATTTATTATTATCCTCTGTAATTATTAGATTTAATTCAGATCTGATCTGAAATCACTACGTTAATAAAGCAGTTTGATTTATGGATTATAATTACAGTCGTAAATATTATTTGTCAATTTTTCACTGGTGGTAGAACCTTTTGTGAGTCCGCTCGGGTAGGTACCACCGCCCTGCCTATTTCTGCCGTGAAGCAGTAATGCGTTTCGGTTTGAACGGTGGGGCAGACGTTGTGACTATACTTGTGACCTTAGAACTTATATCTCAAGGTGAGTGGCGCATTTACGTTGTAGATGTCTATGGGCCCCAGTAACCATTTAATACCAGGTGGGCTGTGAGCTTGTCCACCCATATAAGCAATAAATAAATAAAATTGAAACTTTGTGAATTGAATCAAGAAATATCGGAATATTGCCAGCGGTCGTTCGGACATCGCAGTGGTATAATATCCTATATTTTAAAGGTTTCCGTTGTCGGCTCGTAAAGAATGATGCGTCGTCTCGGGCGACACCATTACTCCTCGTGCCGCATGAAAAATTCATACGGCAGCCGTTTGATCGCGTTAACGTGCGGCGTCGTCGTGCGCGCAAGCCCCCCGGGGCCGCTAAGCGCGGCTTATACCGCACCGTTGTCTTACACCACCTGTTTAACTATCAACTATAACACTCAATTCCAATTTCACTGAAGACCGTGATATGATTATGCAGCATTTATTGTTATCTATACTAATATTACTGGATGATGACCGAGCTTCGCTCGGTTTTTTTTTGATAGCGCCATCTTGTTGTGTCTTTAAAGCGGTTAGTTGCCCTCAATTAAGAAAAATAGTATTATTATTCGCCGATAGATGTCGGGAAGAGTTGATTATTGAAAACACGAATAAATCAACATTTTCTGAAAATAAATCGTAGCTAGATCGATTTATCGCCTCCGAAATCCTCTGTATACTCAATTTTATGAAAATCGTTGGAGCCGTTTCCGAGATTCAGATTATATATATATTAATATACAAGAATTGCTCGTTTAAAGGTATAAGATAAGATCAAGAGGAAATATTTGTTTGTATTGAATAGGCTCCGAAACTACCGAACAGATTTGAAAAATTCTTTCACTGTTTGGAAGCTAAACTATTTCCGAGTGACAGGCTATAATATTTTTTGAAAAAAATTAGGGATCCTTAATAAAATTCCAATAATGTAACCCAAGGTATAATAAAATAATTTGCCCTGCGAAAACTATTGATGATAGAATAAAATAATATACTACGACGCATTATTATTTACAAAAAGTGTCGCGACAGCATATGTCTAACTATTATAGTTATGCAGCAAAAAGAGTTTTTTTTTATTTTATAAAATAAAACAACGTCAAGTATTGTTGAAATTTTTGTTAAAGGCTCGAGCCTAGGCCGAGCGGGCCGCTAGTTATTATTGTATACACTTATTCACGTTGTTTTTGTTGCAGTCGATCTCCTGCAGATGTTGGAATTCAACGTGACGGTGTCGTTTCCGGCCGCGCCGCTTCTGACCGTCATTCTGGCTTTAGTTGGTAAGTTGTTTCATAATACGTACCTTAATATAGTTTTTAAATTACGAAATTAAATGACAAGGTTGAAAATAATTTAATCCGTACTAAAAATTTAAATGATGTTTTTTAATCTGGAAATTCCAGTCAGGTTGTTAAGCCAAAGTGACGACACAGTATTCTATTTACTTGATAAGTGTGCAAAATTTTGTAAGTTAACCTTACATATCCTATATATTAATACGTGAAGCAAAAACTTTGTATCCCTTTTTACGAAAATTGCGCGGACGGAGGAGTATGAAATTTTCCTCACTTATAGAGAATATAGAGAAGAAGTGCACGAAGAAGTGAAGAAGTAATATTTTTTAAAATAATGCATAAGAGATACATTAAATCGATAAAGAAAACATTACACACACTACATACCATGTATTTGACGCACACACGCATGCATACTATTTATTGTCAAACTTTTGTTTTTGGCATCTGTTGTCAAATTGAAAACAGATTAAATATTGTTTGCCTTTGTTAATATTTTTTATAGTGTAGTCTTGGCCAAATTCGTGATTATAGAAGTATAAAATACAATCATAATAGTGTACAAACTTACAATTCCAATTAATTATAGTCGAATTTCGAGTACTGCGGGACCTCTAGTATAAAAAGATATATGTAGGTCATCTAGTAAAAGAGTGTTCAAAATGTCACATAGTTCAGTAAGTGTCATTTGTTACTTTAAATTTAGTATATATGTCATCATCATCAACAGCCCATAGTCGTCCACTGCTGGACATAGGCCTCTCCCAATCTACACCACTGAGCCCGGTCTGCGGCTATTTACCATGTATTTCACATGTATTTAGTATTTTTACTAAACATTGTTTGGTTTCGTTTTTCCGTAATTGACTGGAAAATTGTTATGTACGCTATTCATTACGCGCGAAGAGCTCTTGCTAAGCTCTCCAGTATACTTCATTGTATTTCGTTCTCGGTACGCATTTAAGCCGCCATTTCTATTTGAGTTTGTGTAGTTTCGACTACATAATAATCGTCTCGAAATTGCTTCCACCTATTTGGTGCTGTTTCAATGTTCTTTTAAATGGAATTTGTTTATGTAATTGCATAGATATTTTTAAGTCAAGAAGTGGCTTAAGAGAGAATTTTTTTATTATACGATGCTATTCATTCATCGTGTAAATCATACGTGGACAAGGGTCAAGTACGTATGATAATACAAAAATTGGTAGCTGCTTATCAGATTTTAAAGCCGGCACAGTCGTATCGTTTGATACGAATACACCAGCCCGCTTATCCTTTAGACCACGACGACTTTAAAACGCTATTCTATCTATTGATACTGTAGACAAGACTAGGCTCTAATCTGACTGAATATATGTCATAACTGATTCTCACTAAAAAATTTTTTTTTCGTGCTTGTATTTAAAAATTGCACAGATAGATGAAGGGACATGCCATATTAGAGGTTATTGTCGAAGTTGTTGTGTTACAAGATGCAGCGATTTTTGTAGTTTGTTTTGTTCAACAAGTTCAGTTTTCTGCGGCAACTGTTGCGTGCGGAAGGGGGGTTGGGGAGACGGGGCGCAACAGGCGCCCCACAAACGGCACCACCTCCCCCCTGTCTTGTGTCGCCCAAGGTTCTATCCACATAAAGGAAATACTTTTGACCTACTTCAAGAATTTTTCGTATGTTTCGCTTCGTTATACTTGTTGGTCTATCAGCTGATTCGGTATTACCCGTACTTTTTCTTTTCCTACCCAATCGTTGGTAGCCTAAGGGGCTATTTATTTCAACTTCACGCGGACCAGATTACCCATACACGTGGAAAGTTATTTGCGGATAATGCAATAACACTTAACCTTCGATCCGTTTGATAAACTTTATTCAATTTATAAAAGTATATACAATGTATACAATGCGATTAATAGTTGTAAAATATGTATTGCGGTCGGTTAGAAAATCGGGAATGCGCGTGAGCATAGTCAAAATAATCGTTTCTCTTAATCTATGGTACTTGTAGTTGGGTTCAGTTGTATTTGGTGTGTGTGAAATGTACATATCGACGCTTGAAAGGCAAACGTGACTAAGCGACAATAACTGCTTTGTACATAAATGATAGGCAACAACCATATTCGATACGCAAAAAAAAAAATTTCTAGGTCTAGTAAAATCATTTCAATCCTACAGCTAGATTCGTTAAAAAAGATTTTTTTCAGGTATTTCAACTTTAAATTAGTCTACTGTAAAGTTCACGCATTGTCGCTTAGTCACGTTTGCCTTTCAAGCGTCGATATGTATGTCATGTGTAATGGGTATTATGATCAACATCCATTATTAACATGCACCACTAAGCCAGGACTTCAGTCTTCTCTACCAGTGTTAGTCTGAAATTTCTTCATTTTGGTTATCTACATACTATAAGTAATTTTAGATTTTAGCGATGAAGGTAAAGAAATAACATCGTGTAATAAAAAATCAAACCCGCAAAATTTTAATTTGCGTAATTACAAGTGACGATATCTTGTGAGTCCGCACGGATAGGTAGCACCGCCCTGCCTATTTCTGTCGTAAAGCAGTTATGCGTTTCGGTTTGAAGGGTAAGTTAGCCGATGTACTGTAAAAACTGAGGCCTTAGACCTTATATCTCAATGTGGTGGCGGCATTTACGTTGTAGATGTCTATGGACTCCAGTAAACACTCAACACCAGGTGGGCCTTATTCTCCCATCAAAGCAATAAAAATAATAATAATTCTAATAAAAAAAAAGTGTTTGCTTTGCTGCATGAGACAATTTAAACTTTAACAGCGAGTTTAAATGGTTTTAACGGTGTTTCATTTTATTAGCTAAGTTATGATATCAAGATAAGGGCATTTTAAAGATATGGCTGTTCACAATTACGTCTCATTTGCGAAATTGTTTGCTCACAATTTGTGCTCCGATTATTTGGTTTCTTTTGACATGTGCGGGAGTGGTTCTTAACGAGACATTTGGTATAGCGTGTTTACTTCCCTTTCGTCGCTAACGATTTGTACAATTTGTATTTCCTTATCGATAACGTTAGATCTGATGCCTCATTATGTGCACTTGATAATGGCGACAGCACGCCGAGGGAGTTTCTTTGCCAAAAGAACTCGTTTGTGATTTATTTTTATCGTGCGGTATCTTTTTTGAAATGTCTGAATTTATATTATTGTTGAAAGCTCCTTCGTGAGCTCTTGTCGTTTTGATGAATGAATATCTCACTCTTAAAATCGTCGCATACGTATTTTTATTTATTTTACTTTTTTATCGTGAAAAATATACAGCACTCGTGAAATATGTTTTCATCCACTTTCTAACAACGTTCTATTGTGTTTTGTATTTGGATTCACCTTTATTTTCGACGACTTCCAAGCCAATGATACATATACTTCGGCCTCGTGTCAAGATGGGTGACAGTATTGACGTAGTGAAGTTTGTGGGTTTCGGTAATACTCAGAGAACGTTTTTGGCCATTTTCCGGTGAACATTTTCTATTGGTGGTAGGACCTATTGTGAGTCTGCGCGGGCAGGTACCACCACCCTGCCTATTTCTGCCGTGAAGCAGTAATGCGTTTCGATTTGAAGGGTGGGGCAGCCGTTGTAACTATACTGAGACCTTAGAACTTATATCTGAAGGTGGGTGGCGCATTTACGTTGTAGATGTCTATGGGCTCCAGTAACCACTTAGCACCAGGTGGGCTGTGGGCTCGTCCACCCATCTGGGCAATAAAAAGGCATTCGTCGCTTTATACGGCACCCAAGGGAAGAGATGGGACATTACTATTATTATTATTTTCTTTGGCTCAGTAGTAGTCTTTAATTCTACCAATGCCGGCTTAAGGAACTAAAACTAAGATGTAGTTGTCAAATTGTAAAAGTAAACGATTTGTTTTCTTGTGAGTCTGGCCGGTGCTGGAAAGATTATATTACTATGGTTTTATGTTGAATGACTGGGACTGGTGCTGGATGACTTATTGCCTTAATTATTAGGCTGCCAAAAACTAACTATGAACAAGCACGCGAGGAATTGTAATAAATTGAATTAATACCTTCGTTGATGGTGGAATTCGTACGTGAACTCACTAAATATACATATACGTAATGACAAGAATCGGATTTCGTCAAAAATTTATGCACGGCGCATGACTACAGGACTACCAGTCAGGCAACTCATACTACGTAACAGAAACTCAAAGACGTTTTTATATTTAGTATACAAAAGTGCCTTCACGATCCTAATTCATTTATTTAATAAAAGAATTAACGATTTTATTTTTCGAATCATTGTCGTTCATTTCCGATTTGAAACTGTTCCAAAAGTTGAACAATACAAAAACTCGGAATTACTTGTAGTAATTTTCTAATGGAATAACCGGAATCGTGCTTCAAAGGTTTGAAAAGAGAGAACTTTCGTGTTCATAATGAACATCAAAATTTGACAATCAATAACAATGAAAGTTCGGTTTTCTCCTGTCCTCCGTAACTCTGAGATGTAATTTCATTCAAGATAAACAAGCCAACTAAGCTTAGATATCGTACTCTGTAAACAATAACAAAAGCAAACGGTAATAGGGGTTGCTGGTCGGCTTGCTACAAACAGGTTTGATTTGTTGAATTATGTACCTAATTGAAGATTAAATTATACCTTCCGCCGCGGAGCCTTCGAGAGAAATGAGGACGGAGTGAAAATTGACAGACGCCTAATGTTTTTTTTTGTTTCACCATTTGCGTAGTTACTTGAAGGTTTTCGTGACCAATTTTGCAAGAAAGTAATATTGGAAAATCATTTCGATAATAAACGTTAACTGAAGGGAGACTGTATAATCCGCATCGATACCACTATCTTGTCGATTTCGTACGCGACACAGTGATCCATTCCTGTTTCAAGGTTGAGGCAGCTGTTATAAAATACTACTGAACTTTGCGGTATTCACGCTGTGATGTCTAAGGTCCCTATTGTCCATTTAAACCCAGATGGAAGGT